AATGTTACATGGGCATGAACGTTCTATCACTCAGATCAAATACAATAAGGATGGTGACTTGCTGTTTTCCTCTGCAAAAGACACAAAACCAAATGTCTGGTACTCATTAAATGGTGAAAGACTTGGCACGTACAATGGTCATGGTGGTGCTGTTTGGTGCATTGATGTTGATTGTATCCTTGAAAACTACATTAATGAACATTTTCAATAATGAGGAAATTTTAATTGTGCTCCCTTTTGGAAATACAAGCTGTCCTTGAGTACTTTCCTATTCCTATGGGTAGGGGTTTATGTCTGCGTTCATGAACTTGAAGAAGTTCTCAGATGCTTATTTCCACTGACTACTTGCACAAACTGAGTAGAAGCAGGAAAAAAATGTGTATGTCAAGATCCTCACCATTGAGAATATAGGAATTGTCATTCTTGGGTTTTGCATCCACACTTAAGGGTAGATTTTGAGAGTGTCGCATATTTCAGTGAAGCGCTTGTGGCTATATTATGATAAACATGTGCTTTCAATAAGATTTGAAGTAGGTGGCTACCTTGGTAAAGCACCCACCAGAGAATAATGTGAAAAACAATTTTCTCCCATTAGCCCATTAGTTTCATTCAGTAGAGAATGGCTCCAAACAGTGTTTTCTGTGTTGATCTTTGGTAAGTGATCATTAATGATTAGTCTCCTTTGTAATAATTGTTCAACTGATTGTTTATTTCTAATCAAGATTCTTATTTGCTGACATGCATACCTGCTGTCTGAGTTTCACATAAAAAAAAAAAAAAGGACGTGGTTACCGCTTACTAAAATTTGAGTCAGTATGTTCTTGTAAATTCAATTCTTATTTTTCCTGGAAATGTGGTACACCAACAAGACAATATCATTGTTTTTACTCAGAATGTTTTTGTAATGGTAATAGTTGACTGAAAGAAATCTAAAAGATCTTGAATGATACAATTAGGTCTCACTTGTTGAGTTTGTTTGAACATTTCTTGTGATTGGAAATTTCTTTTTGTCACTTTTTTTTTATTGGGTAAAATTCAAGGTATGTAACAGTGAATTCTACCAATTTCATTTCTTGGAAAAACCCTAGGATTATTCTTGTCTGCAGAATAGTTCATGTGAAGTTTGAAACAGTAATTGCCATGACAATTATTGCCAGCCTATCACAACTTACGCGGCCTCGATCCCAGCTCACTCTTGGAGTTTTTTTCCAGGGAAACAGGTCATTTTAAAATAGTCTGCATTTTACCCCTGGTCTGCAGTCTTCATTCTGCATTTTACCCCCAGTTTGCAGTTGTCTGCAGTCTTCATTTTACACTGGCCACACTACTGATGGATTCAGCTGCTATGAATTTTTATGTAAGATAATTGAATTAAATCAATCAACCAATGAATTTTAGCTGTTCCCACGGCTCGTGTTTCATATCAGATTGAAAACAACTGTTGTATCCGCTTAGAACAAGGTCTTCTTGGATTTTCAAAGCAAATACAGCTATTTTATATAAGGTTAGAAGCTAAGTATTCAATGGCTGTTCTTATTTCTCTATATAGCTAAGCTTAGGTTAATCATCTTTAAGCAAAGTTAACATCTGTGCAAAAAATTCCCAAATTTGATCTACATGTGCTATCAACAATTTTGATTTTCAAGTTTGTTTTCTAACTAGCAGTTGAGAAGAACTGCTGTTGTTTTATTTATCTAATAATTTATTGAGTTAAGTCCAGTGCAAAGTTGTTTGAAAATTATGTCAGGTAACAAACAATGTGTACTTCTACTTTGCGCGTGACTGACGTTTGTAGAACATGCAAAACATGCAGAAAAAGGAAAATGATTGTGAAAGAAAAAATCTAAAAAAGGAAGACTGGAGAATTTAAAAAGTAAATGAAGTGAATACGCCATTACTAAGTTGACTATTATTTTCTATGTTATTGTTCTGTAAATTTGGCTTTGACATGGCAAAGTTTACCTGGCTATTCACAACAGAATACCTGCTGGAGCTCTGGCAGATGCTGGGTCTTATTGGAAGCACTGTATATAGTTGAACCCCACTAACTGATTCAGTCAACTTAACTTGAATCCCCCTCTAACTTGAACCCAGTCAAATGAAATCCCACACTGACTCTAACCCAGTTAACTCAAATCCCTAGCTAACTTGAACAAGATTGGATTTCCCTTTGGTTTCACCCCATTTCTCCAGTCATTTACCTTTAGCTAAGAGGAACTCCATTAAATTGCACTCTCTGTTAACTTGTGTTATTTTTACTTTCCCCCAGCTCAAATTTACCTTGACAATTTGAACTTTTAAAAACATCAGTTCATAAGGGTCAAAGGGTTAAGCATCACTGATTGACATGTTCCATTCTTTATTTGCAACTGATACAAAGGCAATAACACTTTTTCAGATAGTAATACATTTAGCTTAAGTATCCAAACAGAACATTTTTCTTAGAAAACAAACTTGACGTATCAAAATTACTTTTGTGTGTGTGAGATTGGTTAAAAAAATGATTCCTTGTATATTGTTAACAGAATGATCGAAATTCAACACTGATTCCAATAACTTGAACCTCCACTAACTTTTGATCTTGAAATCCTTAACTCCTTGTTTTGCTATTGAAGGGGAAACAGGACATTTCATTTCTGGTTCAGCAGATAACAGCTTGAGATTTTGGGATTGTGAAACTGCCACAACATTATCCAAATATGAAACAAAAACTGCCGTGAGGGCATGTGGCTTCTCCTATTGTGGTCAGAAGATTATGATGACAACAGACAGACAGATGGGTCATGATTGTATCCTTATGTTGTATGATATTAGAGAAGGTGCGTACAGTATCAGCTAAATGAATTACAGCATGTCCTTGATTTAAAATTTGTGTAATATTTACATGTATGCTTGTTTGTTTGCAAATTTTTACTTTATTTTAGGCAAAGGGATCTTTGTTTCCTTATCTGAAAAATTGTGCGTAGAGTGACCTCTAACAAGGACTCGCAACATTATTTTCTTATTAAATTTTACATTTCCTCATGAATTGTATTCTTAACTATTCAACATGCATCAAAAAAGAGAAAACAAAAAACCATAGACTCATGGCAACAGAAAGGAATTCACTTAATAAACAACATTGCACAAAGGATTGATAGCAAAATTTAAACAACCCCAATATTTCTTCTCATTGATTGGGTCATAGAGGTAGTTTTAAGACATCTCTGCTAGGTACAAGTTCTTTTTGCAGTAAAGGTGAGGAAAACATGTGAAAAGGGTGGGAGAAACAAATTAAAAAGGTGGGAGAAATGTGAAAAGGGTGAGAGAAACATGTGAAAAGGGTGAGAGAAACATGTGAAAAAGGTGAGAGAAACATGTGAAAAGGGTGAGAGAAACATGTGAAAAGGGTGAGAGAAACATGTTAAAAGGATGAGAGAAACATGTGAAAAGGGTGAGAGAAACATGTGCAAAGGGTGAGAGAAACATGTGAAAAGGATGAGAGAAACATGTGAAAAGGGTGAGAGAAACATGTGAAAAGGGTGAGAGAAACGTGTGAAAAAGGTGAGAGAAACATGTCAAAAAGGTGAGAGAAACATGTGAAAAGGGTGAGAGAAACATGTGAAAAAGGTGAGAGAAACATGTGCAAAGGGTGAGAGAAACATGTTGAAAGGGTTGGAGAAACATGTGAACTGGGTGGGCTTAGCAAGCCAGACAAGATTGTTACATTTAAGTTATGTTCTGTTGAGGTGTGAACCCTATAACTCCCAAGATCTGAATGTTAATTCTCGCCTTTAGCATCTACTCATTTCCTTGTAAATTAGTTATGAGAATTTGGTGTTAGATCAAAATCACACCTTACTTGATAGGTTTGATTATTTTAATTACATAATATTATTTGCTGGGTTATGTATGGATATCGTTAGGGGAGAAGTCAGATGTTAATCTCTTGTGGGAGTTAAAGGTTAAGAGTAGGTGATGGATCTTAGTGATTGCATGTCATTTTGCACAGGATTACGGTATCAAAACTAATTGCGTTGTAAGCTTTTGCATGGACACTCTTTTCCATTCGTTTTTGCAAAAAGGTTCCAAGGACCCAGTTCTTAGTGTACCAGTGGATGGGCCTAAGGTAACTGCAGCCCTTTGGGGTCCATTGGACCAATACATTATCACGGGCCATGAAAATGGTGACCTTTGCCAGTGGGATACAAAGGTGAGAGAGTAATATGTTAATCTTAGTGCTTTCAATGAGAATTGAAGTAGGTAGCTACCTTGGTAAAGCACCCTTCAGATAATAGAATTGAAACAAAATTTCACTCTTGTTAGCCCGTTAGTTCCATTCAGAATACACTTGCTTCAAACAGAGTTCTCTGCGTTGAACTTAGAGGATGATTATGAAATATTAGTCTCCTTTGAAACAATTGTTTAACTGATCATCTATTTTTAACCAAAATCTTTCATCTGCTAACATGCAAACTTCACACAAAGAAGTCCTCTAGATGGATATAATTTTGGTTGATGGTGACCCAAATTTGAGTCAGTATGTTGTTGTATTCTCAAAATTTTATTTTGCTGGAAATATGGTGCACGGCAAAATATATTTTTTTAAATTAAAACTTATTTATCATGGTAAAAGTCGCCTGAAAGAAATCTAAAAGATCTTGAATGATGTGTTTTACTTACTTTTAGCATAAAAGAATTCACAGAAAGATCCTTGGTTATCATCCAACATTGCACAGTACTAAACACTTTCCACTGGCTGTGTACAAAAAAGATATAAGATAATATCCAGTGTGCATCAAATTTCTGTATGCACATGTTTTCAAAGGTTGATGCTACGATCCAAACTTTTCTTCACCTGGCTAAGCCAGATTCTACTGTTTTCCATTCATACATCCTTTTTTGACTCATTATTTCCTAAAGTATTTGCATTGTAACACCATGATCTTTGTTTACAGAGTTTTCTTTTGATGCAATTGGAAACAAACCTCTCGGTCGCCTGCCTTAAAATGCTGAATGCATTTTCTGTGATTGCAAGTTTTTTTGTGTGTTTTTGTTTGTTTTGTTTTTTTCCTTACTGGGTGAAATTTGTAGCTGTGAATTTTATCAGTTTTACTTAGTGGGAAAAAACCCCAGGATTATTCTTGTCTGCAGAAGTGATGCATTACTGATGGATTAAATAAGATAATGTTTACATAAGATAATTTAATTAAATCAAGTGAAAAAATCACAGAGCCGCTAATTGCTTCACAAAAAGTCATGAAAAGTCATCACTTATGTTCTGGCCAGTAACAATGAGAACAAGGTCTTCTTTGCTTTTCACAGCAAATGCAGCTTTTTTATAGTTGTTCTTTGTTTATCAAAAAAAAATCTATGTTAGCGTGTAGAGTGGTCTGTTGCTTGCACTAATTAGATTGCCGCATAATGGTTTGTATCTCGGACCAATCAGATTGTTACATTAGGGTATATATCTCCCACCAATCATATCACAGCACTGGGATATCTTGCACCAATCACAGTATTTGGGTATTGTTTTCTTGTAAATGATGTCATTGAATCAGGGGGCTGTGCACAAAGAATGACATTAAAAAGAAATTTTGGGCCCATCTGATAAGTGTAATGGTTACTCCCTTTTGCAACCATTATTTGGTCTCGTCACGCAATGCACTCTCTCTCCAACGGGGAATAGATGGCGATGCGTGACGAGACCAAACAATGGCTACGAAGGAGACAACAGTAGGTGTGGCACCAATGCATTTTATTTTTGCTCAGAAGTATTGAGAAAATAGAGACAACAAACCCCAAAATACACGTGTGAGTTCAGATGAATCAATTTCTTTTTTTTTATTATTTCTCCTCAGGAAAAGAAATATGATATTTTCATCCGTTTGAAATTTATGCTCTTTTTCTGTTTCAAAAATGAGAACATTAGGTTCACAACATGTCCCATATAAAGCTGCCCAGACAAAAAAAAAAACTCTTGCATGCTACTCATGTGTTAAATGAAATGCAAAGTGTTCAATGGCTATTTTCATTTCTCTCTTCATAGCTAAGCCCTGGTTATGCGTTATGCGATTTTAAGTATGCCATTTCAAGTTTGTTTTCTAACCAGCAGTTGAGAAGAACTGTTGTTGTTTTATTTATCTAAAAGTATTTAATCAGAAAAAGAAAATTTAACAAAAAAAGACCACAAAATTAACCCTTTTTAGTATTTTCCCTTGAAAAATTTTTTTAAAAAGCCCCTGCTTATTTCTAAACACATTTATGATAACCTGTGTATTTATGACTTGTAAGGTTACCACTTTGAACCCACATCCTCATAAAAACTCCTATGATCCCTGCTTTATGCTCCAGTGATATGACAACCAGTTTGGTAACCCCCCATTTTTCATACCTGGATAGCAATTAGCATATCAAGATAAGTATTTCTGCAGGGTTTTGGAAAAATATTTAGTACATTGTGGGAGCCATCATAAATTATGAACAATTTCTTTTTTGGACTGTTCACACAGAATTTTTCAAGACTCTTCTGGAGGATGAATCTTGATCTACTGATTCGTAATATTATAGGTGTTTCTGATGCTGTAGTGTTGATATATGAATGAGTGAGTGACTTTAAAATAAAAACCATGAAAGTAACCTCAACATGGTCCAAATAATTGAGCATTCTTTGACACCACTTTCAAGAAACAAATCAACGTTTGGATGCTACTATCTATTAAAGGATCTATGTTGTAACTTTATAAACCATTTTGAGCCACCTTTATTGGGTTTGCTCACCTACGAAGGTGAAAAGGTCTGTTTGTTACAACCCAGTGCTAAGTCCCACTCTAACTCCCATTGTTTTTTTTGTGGGATCATACCATATCCATGTGCAGTTTTTAAAAGGAAGCAGCAGTATTTACTTACTGATCTTTTTATTTTCAGACGGGAAATAAATTGTTAACTGTTCATGAACATACCAAACAAATCAATGATATACAGATGTACAAAGATCAAACCATGTTTGTTACAGCTTCAAAAGATCACACAGCCAAGGTATGGGTGCAAATTGTACTCTTCTTTTTGCTTTTTTTTCCTTTTTTTATGGAATGAAAAAAATCATTGAATTTACAACATCGCCTCAGGCCTGCTTTAGATTTCACAGAGGTAAGGTAAGAGAAGTGTTTAAAATAATATTGATATATTTTAACAATTCGAAGGAGGCTAGTCTTTGTTTGACATTATTACTGATAAAACCAAAAGTTGCATATGGCACAACAATCGGGCTACAGTGTCTATGTATTTTTAATTACTCCGAATATTTACTTATCCATTCCCCATTTTGTTCCCTTGGTTAACTGTTAGTTAATGCTGAAGTTTTTCCTATACATCTCTGAACTTTTTCCTGCCTTCGTTTTATAGCTTTTTGACACAGATTCACTGCGACACATGAATACGTACAAGACAGAGAGACCAGTAAATTCTGCCTCGCTTTCCCCTATTAGAGAACACGTAAGTCCTTTTTTTTTTCTTTGAATTTGTGAAGGCCTAAGTTATGAGAAAGGTCTTCAATTTCAGCTTTTCGCTGCCACATTGGTAAGTTAACTTAGATGTTTCACTCAGTTTCTTTGCACCAAAAAGTTCCAGAACACCTTGTAAACGTGAGAGGTACAGAACGGGGTACAATGTATGAAAACATTCCTTGATACATGTATATGGTATTTGCTCTACTACATAGAAGTAACTTTCTTAACGTGCCAAAAATGCAGCTTAGCCATGCATAAGATCGCTGGGCATGTGCTATCGTTGTTGATCAATGCTATCGGTGTGCTTTAGCACCAACCGTTTCTGAGTTGTGGAGAAACTGAAATTCAAATGTATTTAACCTTTTCACTTTTCTTTTGCGCCATGAAAACGGAATTTAAACTCTCTTTTGAAACAAAATTTCTCTTTCGCCATTGAAAAAGAAAGAATGATCATCAATTTTTAACACTGGGTAAAAGATCAAGTGGATGAAATCCACATCAGTACATAGCAAGGTACTCCTGAGGTAAATCCGAGGGTTCTGATTGGTTGTTACTCGGTCCGTATTTTGCCGTACGGACCATTTCCATAAGCCGTGTATCTTTGGTCGCGAAAGCTGGCAAATTCAAAATAAACAGGTTTGGTCCGAGTGCCATATAATATACTTCCTAAGCTCGCTTGCCTGGGCCGCACTGGACAATATTGGCCCTTGGCCGCACTGTGCTCCGTCCGTACTGCCACGACTCGGGCCAAATTCTCCAGTACAGCCCTCATGCTCGGTTAATAAGAAATTCATATTGGACCGTCTAGACAGAATTCTTAAGTTAGTTTTGGCGGTCAGTGTGATGACGTGTTAACTTTTTAGTTTTGGGAAGAACCAATCTGTTTGTAAGAGATTAAGCGTTGTACAAAACGCGTAGAATATCAATCTTCTCTTCAATGGCGCTCTACCTTAAGTCGCTTCAACTCTCAATACGCTCTCCGTGTGTTGCAATTCGCTGACAAGTTTTTGGAGGGCTCGTACGTCAAAGTGAAAGGCTGTTTGTCACATGGTTTGGTTTAACAAGAAGAATTATTTTTTAGCAGCAAGAATAACAAACCCTCGGCCCTAGTTCAATCCCTTCGCTAGAATTGTTTTTATTCCGGTTTAACGAAGGCATGATCGATAGACCTGTTTCAATGGAATAATTTCACAGCTGAGAGGCTCATCGACTATTTAAACCAACATGTGTTTGTCTTTCTTAACTTCCCTTCGGTTGTTACTGTTACGAAAATGAAATAGCAATCATCCGAAAGTAAGTGTTTGGTTTTTTTTCCGGAGTGTGAACTAAAGAGTCCCTGATTACCCTGTTTACCACTCGAGAACAAGACATTGGCATTTTGTTTGATTAGCGCCTGTGTTTCCCTCGTATCTCTTCGTTAATTACTTACGCATTTTGCCATCAGGAAGAAGGGATTGCTTAAGCGTGCAAACTTCTAAAGTAGCGGAAGGATACACGCCAACTCTACTGTATTGAAACACACCTCTCAAAAGGTATCAAACCCTTATTGTGTAGTTGTACCCGAAAAACGCGTGACTATTCCTGTGTGTCGTAGGTGGTACTAGGAGGCGGCCAAGAGGCCATGGATGTGACCACAACTTCAACCAGAGTTGGTAAATTTGATGCAAGGTTCTTTCACACGGTTTTTGAAGAGGAAATTGGTAGAGTGAAAGGTCATTTTGGTCCCATTAACAGCACCGCTTTTCATCCAGACGGAAAAAGGTAAATACAGCAATAATTTCATTCTATTGAAGTGCGTATGACACGAAACATTTTTTTGCATTTTCTGGTAATAGCTGTATTTAAAATGATAAATAATCGACCGTAGCGCCCAGCGAGTTCTCCTTGACCATTTTTTTGTAAATTGAAAGTACGATCTGGCGGCCAAAAAATGTCTCCATTAAGCGCGCGGCCAATACGATCATGTTACATTGCTGTGACGTAGAAAACTGTGAAGACACGTCAGCAATTATGGTGGAGAAAGGAGAAATCTAGAAGAGAAGATGAACGTATTGTGTGGCCGGAGCGCCAGATGATGTTGGCTACTAGAATAATACACATATACCGGGTATTTCTGTACACTACTTTCCAAAGGACGTAGCAGAATGGCCAAAATGGACGCGTCTCGATCGTCGATATCGGGGAAATTTTACCCTTCAATATCGTCTTATCATGCTCCGTACCGGCTTCGAAGACGCGTGTTACGAACACGTACCACTAGTCAAATCAGGGGAAGATAACCTAAGAATTCAGCCTAAAGGAATGCTGATTAAGGGGCCTGTTTCCACATCGTAGACAATTGTTCAACATTCTTTTTCGGCTGACATTTCGCTGGCGAAGAATGGTGAGCCTCTTATTCTTGTTTATTTCACACACTTGAGATGTATTCATTCTCCTTGTCTGCGCACATGACTACATTTGCGCTTTTCTTATTGTATGAAAATCCTACCAATTGTGGTTTCCATCGTATTTTAATAACAAAAATACATCATTTGTGATGAAGTTCAAGTCTTTCCCGAGCTTTCCAGACAGATACACTGTTGCGTGAACAGTACGAAACCTCTGGCGGATACTAGCATAAACACAAGCTCGAAGGGGCTGTATATTCTCCTAACCTAGGTTTCCGGAAATCCATCCCACGAGCCATCAATTAGCCCCTGCCCTCAAAAAACTAAGGGCCTGTTTACATGGAGGTGGGGGACCTCCATGTAAACCGCCTGTCCATATAATTTCTTATTTTATTTTGATCACGTTTATATGATAGGTGGGGTGACCTGCCTAGGCCAACCCTGGTCTGCCAGGTAGGGTAACCCTGTCAGGCGGGGTGACAATTTGCCACATAAACGTGTCAAGGTGTGGTAACCCGCTTAGCCGGGGTCGCGTTCATGGCGAAAAGCTAAAAAGCGAAACATGTATGTCTTAAAACTTTGTACATTTCCTAGCCGTCTCAAGGCAGAAATCACCAGAAACCGCAACGGACACACAAGGCATGTAAAATGTTCACATTTCAGAATATTTAGCGTTGTAAATAGACCATATTTGGTTTTCCAAACAATTCCGTATAACGTATTAAGTTAACGGTTCCTCGCGAAACCAAATACCGCGTAACGCAACGAGTGACGCTTTCATGAATAAATACATATGTGTCCGAGAATTAATCTTTCGTCTTTCTCGAGATGTGAGCTTGGGACGCCTTTGCTCAAACTCCTTAATTGCAAGCGCAACAACAACCTCAAGAAACCTCACCCCAGCACCCCGGGGTCGTAAGATTGTATGTAAACGCGTTTTATTTTTCGACCACGGTTAGGCGGGTTACCTCACCTACCTGGGGTCCCCCACCTCCATGTAAACAGGCCTTAAAAGTAGTAACAATAGCAATGTCATTGAGATAACAGCACTGAAACGAGGTAAATAAAGAAACACAAATTTTATTGAATTAGAAGGTCGCGAATCCAAGTGCCGTGTGAAAATCGAATCATACGAAATAATCATTTACATGTCAGTTATTTCCTTTGAGCGTAATGGGTCTTATGGCAATGCTTCACTTAAACTAAAAAAAGTTTTCTCTGTTAAAATCCCTATGGTGATGTTAGTTATTTCCTTTGGGAGGAATGGGTCTTATAGCAATGCTGCACTTGAACTAAAAAAGTTTTTCTCTATTAAAATCCCTATTTGAGATTAATTTGAATCAGAGGACTATAAACTCGCTCGTTTTCCGTTCGGTTTGGCCTGCTCGACGATCGCGACGACAGCCTCTGCTTTCGTTGTCTCTGAGGAAAGGAGCAACTTGCAGTGAAACTGCCCGATGACTTCTCGGTGAAAAATCATCGTGCCTCGTGATACAGCTGATTCTTTCGTCAAAAGTTAGCATTTGGTTTACGAAGGGAATTACTCTACAGCAACGAAACTCTAGAGCACTGTCCAAGGAGAACCTTCGCCGCACATAGTGCAAAGGAATAATGTTACGGCAACAGAAACGAACGCAGCTACCCATTCTTAACATTGATTTCGCCATAGCAAACAAAACAAACGCAACAAACTAAATATTCAGTAACGGGAATTTATTTATTTAATCTTGACCTGGACACCGCAGGCGAGAAACCGTCTTTCTCAGTCTTCGTCGGAATCTTCATTTGATGCGCGCGGTTCTCCTTCGTAGGGCTGAACCGTACTCGCAACTTCCATTTCTTCTCTACCACTTGAGTATGATGTATCTCAACTCTTGGTGGAGCTTGCTGAAGGTTGGTACACATCGCTATCGGACATTATTGCAAGAGAATTTCAACGCAGACTGATTCAAAATTACAAGAGATGTGAGAGATTTGTAAGCGTCAATTGAGAGTTTTAACAGTTTTCTATGTCATCACCCGCTGATTGGTTACCAGTCCACGGTAACTTTTAAGATAAAATAAGAACACTTTAGAGCCCGAAAAAACCGAGTTTTAAGTGTTTTGAATTTTTTTTTCTATCGGAATTGGTTTGAACATCTGATACGCTAAATACTTACGCAAAAAAAAAAAAATTCGTGTCATAGGCACTTTAAGTTTGGTGTTATTTGTGCCTGTGTTGATGAAATTCTAGTCTTTTCCACCACTTGAATACATAATTGCTGTCACTCCTATGACTATGTAATGCTATCTTTCGCAACAATCATATTTATATGTTACTCGACCGGAAAAAACACTAAAGCCTGGGCAAGTAATACTTGATGAAATAAATGCCAGCAAAGCGTTATAATGTGTTCGTCTTTTGGATCACATACTAATTGTATATGTGCACCATCCACATCAGAAGCGCATAAATTTCCCTACTTTGTTGATAAAAAAGCTGGGGTTTATATGACGAGCAAGTAAAACCTAGTTCCATTTGTGCCGGCCAAATATGGAATCCTATTGTTGTAAGTTTGAGCAGTATTTTGGGTAAGAAAAGCTTGCAGAGGCTTTCAAAAGTTGGGACTTTTACATGCGCCAGTAAGTGCAGGATAAGTCAGGTCAATTTCATTTCTCTCGTGTGGAAGAAACTAGTAGAACATTTTGTGCAAACTTTGAGTCAACCTCCGCTCTTAAATTTAGCGGGAGAGCACAGTGCGCTTGAATCGTGTTGATTGCGTCATAAAGAAAACTTGGCTGCCGAAAAAAAACTGACTTATGAGTTTATAAAGAGACTCAAGTGCGTTGAACGTTGACTCAAAGTTTGCAAAAAATGTTCTACTAGTTTCTTCCACACGAGAGAAATGAAATTGACCTGACTTATCCTGCACTTCCTGGCGCATGTAAAAGTCCCAACTTTTGAAAGCATCTGCAAGCTCTTCTTACCCAAAATACTGCTCAAACTTACAACAAGAACATTTCGAATTGACAGTCCAGGTTACAATCAACAATGCAAGAAGGTGAAAAAAAATGCGTACGATAAACCCGCAGATTATCTCGAGTTTTCTGTTTGGGAGTTGTTCAAAGATATGCAAAGTTATAGAGCTCAACTGAGGTCAACGATATTTTCAGAATTGATTTGCTTTCTATAGTTTGAAATGATATTATACGCTGAGTCAAAGTAAATGTGTCACTACAGGCTCCGTTTAAATTAACTCTTGCAGCAGATGTTCTTTCAAGGTTGAGGATCTTTTTCCCAGAAAAACTTTCTAATTGTTTAAAATTGTCTTTTTTTATTAAGAGCGTGTAGTGTGATTGTTCGGGTGAGAGTGATATTGAGAGGGACTGTTGAATGACGTTTTGACAACTTTAGCGGAAATCATCATCAGAGTCTCAGAGACTCATAAATTTGTATTAGGAAGATTTTTTGATTGGCTAGTCTCACGGTGTATTGAAACCCAGTTCTGCGACAAAACTAACTGCTTTTATGGTATTTACATGTACATCCTGTGGAATGAGGAGAGAAATTTTGAACTCGTGTAAGTATTTGTCAGTTGGGAGGAGGGAGATTATTATGCCGATGGGTTGCCCAGGAGGCTGATAAAACTGTGGCTTGTTGTTTAGTGCATACGTTATCTTTGATGTTTTACTTGCTCGGTATTGAAATGTTCCCTCCATTTGCAGTTACAGCAGTGGCGGCGAAGATGGTTATGTGCGAGTCCACGTTTTTGATCCTTCGTATTTTGAAGTGGAATTTGAATATTAGTCGAAATAAACCATGTCACTGTTAGTTGTTGAGTGTTTTCTTAAATCTTCCGACGCTTGGGTTTTGCTGTCGAGTCAATCCATTTTCATAGGCTATCGTTCAGGTGGAAAAGCGTGTACAATTAATCTATCTTGCGAGTGCACCTTGCGAGAATTTGATGCCTGTTCTTTTTACTCTAATGTGATCTAACTAACCTTCAATGACATTGGATCGGCTTTGGTAAGGACAAAATTCTTGTGTTTGGATATTGAATGGGAGCAATAAAGTCGGACACTATGCTTTTGAAATATTTCATAGTTCAGCTTGTGTGAACGTACGAGACGGTCTTGTAGCAAAGGGGGTAAGTTTCTAAAGAAACTTTGGTGCTGCGTTGGCGGAAGGGTATAGCAGGGTAATTTGGTAGTATCAACTGAGTTGATAACTTAAATTGGCCAACGTAGAGAGTTTTAAAGCTGACGTTTCGAGCATTAGCCCTTCGTCAGGGCGAATGAAATATTCTTAGAAAGGGCTAACGCTCGAAACGTTAGCTTTGAAACTCTTTACGATGGCCAATTTATGTTATCAACTAAGTTGATATTACCAAACACCCTGTCTTGGAGTAATCTTAGTGGCACTCGATCCCGTTGGTAGTACGAGCGATCAAGTCTAAGAAACAACCTCCAGTCACATTTTTAGTCCTTTTTCTCGCAACTTGTAATTTCATGCAGTTATTCTGAATAAAATGTCTAAGAAATATGCAAAGTTGTAAAGCGCACGAGCGGCGTAATTTTTATGATCATGAAGTCTTTTGTTTGGCCACGAACTTGGGCCGTGGCTTTCCTGGTTTTAATCGAACTCCCCAAAAACTGTAATAATAATAATAATAATAATAATAATAATAATAATAATAATAATAATAATAATAATAATAATAATAATAATAATAATAATAATAATAATAATAATAAAAACAATCATAAACTTTATTCAATACTCATTAAAAAGACCTATGTACAGTGTTTCACTTAAAAAGAATTAAATTTGTACCTTAACATCTGTTAGAAAGAAAAGAAAAAATCATGTCTCAATATCTCTTGAACTATAATCCACGAAAATGTTTCTCTACTAATTATTATTACTATTACTATTAGCAATCACTACCAATATTTAACATCTTTTCACTAATTCCTCTTTAAAATCTGCCAACAACGATAAAAACATTAAATAGTAGTAATAAATAAAATGCAATATTCAATATCTTTTCTCTTAATAAAAATCTAGCGTCCTAAAAGTCCTGCTAAAAATGATAATAATAATAATAATAATAATAATAATAATGAAATAAAAAGATATATATGAA